AGCTCATCCTCGAGCTTTTGAAGATGACAATGGCTGTTGTGGATATGTCATCATTGGATTTGATTCTGCCCATATGTACAATTGAACGTTGCCCACATGCCATTTGCTGCTTTGGTTGAGGGCAGAATCGCTCCACGCGTTGATGTGCACGCCCCGTCAGAAGACAGAGCTCCTCTCGAACCACAGGAATTCATGAAGCGAAGAAGGTCCAGAAACTGAATGATGGTCAAGGGCAGAAGAAGGCTTCCTCGTGTCTCACTAAAATTTGGTTGTCGCGATTTTTGCACATTGCACGCCATTTCGTCCCTTCTAACTCAGTGCGGGTCCAAAAACGCATGAAATTCACGAAAACCCCGTTTTTGAAAGCCCCGTGGAAGCAACGCGGACGGGTCGTGCATTCTCAGCCTAGCCTTCGCCACAGTGGCAGCAACACCATGGAGGTGGACGCCAAATGGGACATGTTGAAACGCCTAAGGGGGATCAGGGGCATTGTCCTTGCGGGCCAAATCGAACTTTTCGGGCCAGTTTGAGGGCAAATTTCTCGGCTTAGAACGGCCCGGATCTTGTCGGACTTGGGACGGCCGCCTGTTCAGGGGTCCTCTAACGAAATAAGTGGACATCCGCACTACCCAATTTTGGTGAGACACCTGCCTTTGAGCTGAGGTTGGCTCGATTCGAGCTGAGAACGACTGAGTGAATTAAAGTAGGCTTGAAATTGGTTGATGTTCGAAGTGGATGTTGGTGAATGACTTTTGCAAGTAATATATGAATCAATATCGTTGGCTAATATAGGTTACTGGTAGACTGGATGTAGTAAATAGGACATATACATGAAGAGATTGTATCGTAATTTGAAATGCGAAAATAGTGGCGACACGACCAAATGTTCGGTACGGTGAAAGCCATGCCTTCCAACAATAAGCCCTTTCCCCTGTCCCGTGAGGAACAATCCAACAACCAACGCGTGAGGCAATTTGGCCCTCAACCAAAGCAGCAAATGGCATGTGGGCAACGTTCAACCGTACATATGAGCAGCGTTCAATTGAATCCAATGATGACCAGGACCAAGCGTGGGGTGTGGAAGCCACACTAAGGGGATGGTATTGTGAGGGTCAGGAAAGGGGAGAGGGTCGTTATCAAGCCGATACTGATATTAGCAACAACATAATATCCCTTAAAAATGTCTGAGAGGCTCATTATCTTGCACTTTAAAGTTGGCTTACCATCTCATACTTGATGGCAACAAACAAAAAACACAGATATTCGCATGCTTCGAAGGTAAGTTAATGGGGTGTGGCACAACCCCAATAAGGGTGTGGCCGAATCAGCTTTCCTGGAGTTATGCTATACCCCATTGACTTACCTCCAAAGAGAATCAGCGAACAAAATATACACGGTTCGATAACCAGAATCTCCTAGTTTTTGTAGAAGTGAATAGAGCTGAATTCGTCTTCTTTCTTTTGAGCAAGAGTTGTTGGAAAGACAACCACTGTAAGTGATTTTGACTAGTTCCTAATTCCATAGTTTAATGGTTATTTGGAGCAGGATTTATGGTATGGGAAAATAGCGAGTAGAGCTTTGTACCAAGTGCAGAAAGAGGTAGCTAAATCACTCCTAAAATATAGTTAACCATGCTTGAAAATGATCATTCATCTCGGTGGCCCAATACTGGAAACCCTCAGAATTCGCTAAAACTTGGCTTAGAGGGTTACTTGGCATGACGATCACGAAGATGTTCTTAATTATGCTTAATAGAGCGTAAATGTCTGCCTACGGGAGGCGAACGATAATGTGGAGAGGGGGGAGGGTCGTATCCGGTGGTTGTATGCCAAACCTCTTGCTCGACCTGATGATGACGTAACCACAACACCCATGGTCAACTTCAAAAGCTCGAGGACGAGCTTTTATGGAAGGGACATGTCGAGGCGCAGACTAGGGGCCGCATGCATTGACACTTGCCGGCATACCTTCGATACATAGAGCCACGTACTCTGGTGACCTTCACTTTGAGCGTCATGATAGAACACAACCTTCACCTAGAGGGAAGTCATCCGGGGCGAAGCCCCGGATATCATGGCATAACTAATGACATATCCATATAGGAAGAGATGTGAATGAGGTAAATATAGTGGTGACATCCAAAAGAAGCTCAAAAAACAGAATGATTACGTTTTTATGGCCTTTTTTTGCCAAAAAGATTTTTATTCAAAAATTCAATGAGGAACTGGAGCAAAATTTCTCAATTAATCTTTCTCTAGACTTCGATTGAGCGTTGGAAGTTCATGAAAGCCGCTGGAGTTCAACAGAAACGAGAAACTGCGCTCAAATCTTGCGCAGAGAGTTGCTACTTAAATACTGGTCTATCTCGTTATGGAGTGATTTTCAAGACCTGCGACGTTGTCAGTGCTCCTGGCCGTCTCATGAGGATCACAACGATATATAATATTATAGGGTTTTGTTATAACCCCGCGGAGATCAATGACCAGAGCCAAATGCCCCGCCGGCTCTGGTCTGTCTCCGCTGCTCGTCTGCGTCTCCGCGCGTTGCGCGCTACCTCGCTACCCCAAACGCGGGGCGCGGGGCATTTGGCTCTGGTACCCTTTTCTTCGCTGTTTCGAACCCAATTTTAGCAAGCTACATATCATTTTGAAGCTCTTGATCTTTATTTTCACGCTGACAACGTCGCAAGACTTCTTTTTATGATTTAAACGAGAAATCAGGCAAAAACCTTGTTTTCGAAAATCTCTCGTTTTTCTGCTAGTATGACTCTTTTCACGCAGTTTTTTTGTGTAGTCGATAGGTCTTGTTTCTGTCTATAATGTAGACAACGTCGCCGAGCTTATTTCTCTACTTATGCCGGTTTTTTTGTGAAAATTACAAAAAAATGCGTTTTTCTTTACCTTATTCTTTTTCAGTGGTTTCGCAACGAATTTTCTCCAGCTTGGACGATACTTGCTCAGAATGATGAGCGGAAGAATCCAGACAACGTCGCAGGGTACAAAAGGGACGGCGCGAGGGTAAAAATTCAAAGGACGCATCAAAAATCAAAACCCCGTGTTGTGAATTGCTGGTCTTGAAGCGAAAACTTGCACTTTAAAAAGCCGCCAAACGAAAGATTTCAACCTTATTGCAGCATTTTTATGGTTTTTAGCAGTTTCTCTTGCTTTTTATATCTATTTTACGTCATTTTTTCTTCTGTGATCTTCTTTAAACAACCTTCACTATTTATGACGTCAGATGTTCTAACAACCTTCACTTTTGGCGCCCTGTCTCTAGACTATCGAAGGTATGCTTGCCGGGAGAGGATAGCAGCTTACAAAGAAGCTTCATATTCTGAAACTCCGAACTTCTGGATTTACGCTGTCTAACCCCGTAAGTATTCTTTCCATCCTTCACTATGAAAATACTGAACAGGAGCGAGAAGCTGTACATGTCGCATTTTCTAGCATTTTGTATGATCCACTGACGATCCCCGGCGCTTTTCTTCCAAGTCATTTTTCTTGTTTCAAGGTTAGCGAAAACATTCCAAAGTTGTACTGTTCATCTAGCCCAACAGTGCTAAGCATGTCGCTGATAAGAACAAATGATGTTTTGAAGTCATGAAGTTTGCGGTCGTGTGGTCTACAGATCGAATGTTGGGATTTATCAAAAATTCAATTTTTCAAAAACCCATCTGTTCTTATCAGCAATGTTTAGCACTGTGGCGTCAAATGTTCAGTACAACTTTGGAAGGTTTTCGTTAACTTCAAATAAAGAAAAGCGACTTTGAAAAAGAGACGGTCGGCCGCCGGGATCATCAGGGGATCATACAAAATGCTGGGAAATGCGGCTTGTACAGCCTTCCGCTCCTGTTCGATATGTTCAAAGTGAAGGAAAATAGGAATACTAACGGACAGGTAGGTATACAGCATGAAATTCAGATATCTGGAGCTTCAGGATATAAAACTTTCTTTGTAAGCTGCGAACCCCTCCCGAGCGGAGATGTTAATGCATTCGCCCCTAAGAGGTGGTCCGACGGCCTCACCCCAACTGGGCGGTGCCCGATTACTCTCGATGAGCTGGGGTAGAGGACTATATGTCGCCGAGACAGGGCGGTCCCCGCGGTCATTTGCGACAATTACGCACCCTTGCACATGCGCGGACATGCGTTCCTGCAGGGAATTCGCGCGGGACTCTTCCAAATTCGACGACATATAGTCCTCCACCCGATGAGCTGTACCTAACCGGGTGACCGCCGGTTTCCCTTCTCCTTTCCTCATTCTTACAAATATATGATAAAGATTCTAGTCACAATGTTCTGCTCATATAAAGCAGGACAACTAGGGTGAAGATTTCAAGTCAAGAGAGTGCACCTTTTGAACTTGACACACCTCTGGATGAGCATGCGAAATAGAAGCGCCGCAACAGCCACAAATGGTCAGCAGATGGAATCCATATTTTTTTCAATCAATGAAACCACACTTCGGGTTGCCAAATGGTAACTGACCTAACGAAACTGAGGGATATGTTGATAGCAAGTACGTCTACAACTACTAGAGCAGCATATGATCAATAAATTGGAATGCTTCAGTAGATCTCGCGCGTACCCGTGTCTTGTATACACCTTGCTTAGGCAATGTGATCTGATATGAAAACTCCACAAACAGTACACTTCTTTATAACTCCATACCATCAATCACACGAAAATGTAAGGAACGTAAATGGAAATTATAATGTACAAGAATCACAGATTCGGAAGTTCGCCAAAAAAAAACATAAAGCAAACCTGAACGAGGAAGCTTGACAAAATGACGTTTTGGCACAAAGTTAGCTGTCGGATGTTTGAAATACGCAACCTACTTCAATGAAGCTGCAACACATGCTAACCCCATGGACAACGAATAACAAAAATTCAAAATGTAAATCACCGATGACAGGGTACTATAGCCTCAGAAAAAATCTCCTTTGAATTTGAAAACTTATATACAAAGGTGAAGCTCCCACCTCACTTGAACTGAAAGCTAAGAATCCGCACAGGTAGCGTAGAGCGAACGCTTGTTATAAGACACAATCTACAATATTATTCCACAGACAGATCTTCAGAGTTGACTAAATTCAATTTATGATAATATGTGCGCACACAAAACTGCTGCCTGACAGAAATGCGACAAGAAATCATCATATGATAAAAGAATTAGCAAAGAATAAATCACAGAAACGGAGGCTCGCAGACAGTAGCATAGCAATGAACATCTGACAGTATCAATGAGAAAATGGAAAAAAATAATAACTTTACTTCCCACCTACTTTGCTAAGATAGGCAACAACTTCTTCAGGGTTCGGTGGATCAGGCACTTCCCAAGATTCTTCTATCGGATGCTCAATTCGAGCTTTGCAAACCGGACAGCTGAACTGAGGGCGAAACTCCATCTCCAAAGCGATGCAAACCATGCAGAACGAGTGAAGACATGGAAGTAAAACCTAAAAATGTAAAATGGTGATGTGCAAATCAAGTCCGACTGGGAACTTGGGACAGCAGGATGCACAAAACATTAGTTTCACTAAGATTTTATTGAAAGCGTTAAACATCATTACTCTCGGGTAAATTCTAGCCGTCGGCGGAAAGATGTGGCAGGCATTGTAAATTTCAACATACAATACTGCAAAAGATGATTGTTACTTGAAGGGATTAAAAGCAGTCGGGCTATGATTTCACCGAGTTTGATTTTTATGGCTTTTATAGCTAAGCAAACTATAATTGTGGCATCTAACTGAAATGGCGCAAGTGAGAAAACGAAGATAGAAAATCGAATTCAAAACCAAAATCAAAATAGCAATCTCATCCACGATTCACTCAAAAGGGATCTTCTAGCTTGGGACTTGTTCCAAACGGCAATGAGGTGAATATTCGGAACTTTTTGTATGACAACAAAGATGGTAAGGGCATTTGAAAGGAGTACAGAATGGTTTGAAAATCACAACTTTACAAGAAAATACCTCATTATTGTTTTCCATGCAAATGCAGCACAACCCTTCACTGTCGGCTCTGAAGTGATATATCAGCCAAAAACCGAGAGAATGAACTTTGAACTTACGTCTCACGGAATATGTACTGACTACTAGACATTTCATTGGGCAAATTATTTCGCAGTGCATCCTTGTGCACACTGTAAACATTGAGAAACTCGTCAAACCTCAGCACTTTGCTGGAGGTTACTTGAAGAGAATCCAAGTTAACCTGCAATGATTTTCAGACCACTACAGCCAATGATTATATCTAATTATAGGATATCATTCATACTTACCGTGAAGCATTTTATTTTCGCCAATTTCTTCCAAAGGAATCCATCGGTACAGGTTTTATCAAGTGCAAAACATATATAATCTCCCTTCTCATTTCGAACGCGGAAACATCTGCGAAGTGAACAGAATTGAAAAGAAGACGCGGACATGAAGAACTACTCACTTTCTGTTCAGTTCCCTGATCATTTCCAGAAACTTGGGCCAAGTAACTTCCTCGTAGAGCGGATTTGCTGCTGCATATGCATGCTCGAATCGGCTCCGTTTAGATGGAGAGCTGCCCATAACCTCGACGTACTCATGAAACCAGTTCTTGAGTACAGGCAACAGCTCTGAAACTGGATTGACAGCACATAAAGATATAACAGAATAATAGAAAATGGAAAAAACGGCGAAAAATTATCAATCCTAAAACAGCGCCAAGCATGATCAGAATCATTCAAATGCTGGCAACGCAGTCCTGTTTCTACCATACAAAAACCTTTTCACATCGAATGTAAACAAAATGTGTGAAGAGCACTCGTGCTGTATATGTTGGCAACACCAGCCCAGAGATAAAACTGACTGACGAATATATCTAAGTCTAAGCAGTCTTCGCTACCGTAACAACTTACAGAATATTAGAAAATCTAGAAGCTTACAGACTTCTGGACTGTTCGCTGATAAATGACATAAAAATGACAAGAAGAGTTATGGAAAGCAAACTGAAAAAATAAAAATGTTTACAAAAGTTCGATCCGATGAACTTATCCAGAAGTGTGCATTTACCTCAAGCAGACATCAAACGATATAGCTAAGGGACCGGCCATACTATTCCTGTGATTCCCGCAATTCGTGCGGTTCCTGTGATTCCTGCTGTCCCGCAACAATGTATGTTGCGGAAAAATAATGTACCAATACTGAAGTTCGCAAAGTGCTCCGTAGTGCGGCACAGAATTCGAGGAATCACAGGAATTGCACGAATTAAAGGATTCGCAGGAATCACCTCCTGGAATAGTATGGCCGGTCTTCAAACCATGCCAAACACTTCCAAGTAAAGAGAAACTTAACAAAAGAGCAGTGCCGAATAAAATATTCAACATGGATCAAATGCAGCAGAGGCTATTGAATGCATGGGCACGGGACAAAACGGACGAAGTGCAGTTCCGGAGCGAAAAAAGTACGTGAACTACAAGGCGCCTGGACGCATGACTCATTTTACTGTGCTTGGTTTTTCGGCGCTTTCACTTTCTTGATGGGTCATAGTGTTCCTGAATAATCAGTAAAGTACGAGACCCCATCATTGAGCAGGATGGATGAGAGCAAGGGATCACTTCCCAAAAGCTATAGGAAAAGAAGTAATCCTGCTGAACCATTAACCGGGATTGTGAAACTCAGCTGATATTGATTTTACACGCCACAAAGGTGCGCATGTCGCAATTACGCTTGTGGCAAAATAGTTCCCGCGCTCAGCATTCACGCATAGGCTACACGAATAAGCGGGTAATACACGAAGGAGATTAACATTTCTGTGACTTTGGTATATATGGGGCCATAGCTTGACTTGACAAAACCCAATTTTCTGGATGGGTATTTATTTTGGATATCCATGTCGATTCACCCGCCCATTATTTGCTTCTGGGTAAATTCTCTTCTTCTTATCAGTGACGTATTTGGGTTCAACTGATAAAAGACTGAGATGCGAATGTCAGTTCGCAGTGCCATCAGAGACGTGGGACAGATTTCGTGACCCAAGCTAATATCCTTATGAGTACGTGCCAGTGCTGAGTGCTGTTCTTTTTGCCCACTCAGGACATGCATGTTTTGGTCTGAAATTCTTCTGGAACAAGTGAGCCATCAACACCTGTGCCTTAACGGATGAGGGAACTGTCAACAGAACCACATTTGATGGTTCCAAGGGCTCTACGCCCTATGCATACAGACATAGAATTCGTCAATATTTCCTTGTTTAGAAAAGTTTCTGATCAAAACATGCCTGTTCTGAAACTGGTAAAAAAAAAAGCACTATATTAAATAATTTGCCTTTGTTCGTGAAGAATGAAATGCACATTTTTGCAAGCGTTGTAAATGGCTTGAAATAAGAAGCTTTTTGACTATTTTAGAAGGTATTTGAAGACTGTGTTTCATAGCGCTGCATTTCAGCTGGTTTCTAATGAGTATTTCTAATTTTTTCCGCGCATCTTGAAGAAATGTGGGAGAGGAACACCTACAAAAGCCTTTACGTTGCTGGTTTTATTGTTGAACAAAAAGAAAACCTACGAAACTATTCAACAAATCAAGGCGTCCCGCTTCTTTTGGTTCACCCTACTAGTATGCATCTCTGAACGACTGTGCTTCTTGGAACTCTTCAAAGAAATAAACCTCAACCCCGTAAATGAGTATAAGAAATACCCAACCGTATAAAACTATTGCAATGGTTATCTATGCCTTCATAACCTCCTCCTCAGAAATTATAAACCTTTGCTGCGTTTTTTGTTTGAAGTGTTTACATTTTGGTTCTTCTGTATGAACCCGTCAAAGGTGGGCTGCCTTGCTAATGTACCAATAGGAAAAATCTCAGGACTCAAAGTATGCGGTACCTTGAGGCTGATCAATCGATACATCTTTAGGAACACTCCCTCATCTACTTACGGGAATATCTATCAGCTTACCACATCCTCACCAGGATAACAGCGCAGAAAGTTGTTGCTAAATCTGTGTTGTAAATAACAAGCACCACCCTACCAAATGGGACGGCGAAAGAGGAAAGATGTTCTTAAAGTAACGCCCTCGATAAGCGTCAGGATCAACCTTATGGCAATATTTTCATGAAAGCTCAAAATCAAAGCTCAACTAGGTAACTTCGAAATTTGAGCAGCACCGTCGCAATGGACGCAGTCTTCAAATACCTTTTGAAATAATCGAAAAAACTTTTTATTTCAAGCCATTTTCAGTGTTTGCAAAAATGTGCGAAATTTCATTTTTCAACATAAAACAGCGGCCGCTTTCTGCGCTGTTATCCTGGTGAGGATGTGGTAAGCTGATACCCATAATATAAGAAATACCCAACCGTAACTATTGCAATAGTTATCTATGCCTTCATTACTGTCTCCTCCTCAGAAGTTATAAACCTTTGCTGCGTTTTTTGTTTGAAGCGTTTACATTTTGGTTCTTCTGTATGAACCCGTCAAAGGTGGGCTGCCTTGCTAATGTACCAATAGGAAAAATCTCAGGACTCGAATTATACGGTACCTTGAGGCTGATCAATCGATACATCTGTAGGAACACTCCCTCATCTACTTACGGGAATATCTAGGCAGCGCTCACCAAACCGCATTTTTTTTCACTAAATATCGATAATATCTGAACCTACCCTCAGCGTATTCGTACAAAGCTGAGAACATCGCCATGCCTATGCTCGCTAGGCGGAGCCGGTCGAGAACGTGTTGCGGATGTCGTAGCAATGCCAGTGTCGTCGAACGGTTAGTTGATAAGCTAAGTGAGCGGCATCAGACCTGTCGCAGCAGTCTTCTCCATGAGAAAGTGACAAGTAGAAGATTATCGAGCTATGTCGAATCAATTAGCAGCTTCTGCAATGATTTCTGAAAACACCATACCTAGGGTTGATTGGCATTGAAAACTTACATTATGATCTCTCGGTGTATTAGGCAAATTTTCCTTTTCCGCAAATATTCTCGTCAGGCGATCAACCGTGAACACCAACGCTGCGTACTCCATCTTCGAGTAGCTCGTTGCAGTTTGCGCTCTCAACGCGGTTGAATCAGTTAAGGAAGCGCCTAACGTGGGTCGTTCGATATCTGGTGCGACTGCTGTCAATCGCCGAAACTAGCGATCGCTTCCGCGTTTCGCCATCGGCACACGTTTGAAGTAGAGTTCTTATGCCACTTCGCACCATATCAGACGTTTATGCAAAGTTTTTATCTTCTGCATTTATGCTTCGTCTGTTCTTGAACTCGGATTTGTTGTGAAGTTGGTAGAACTAAAATGATCAGCATTTCAATTGAATTTTTGTCCTTTCCATCTTCCTTTTGTGGACTGACCGCACAGGCTCAAATCAAAGTGCATAGCAGATAGTCTCTTTTGCCGTGTATCTTTCACCGCTTGTACTTTATGTTGTCATTGTGTTTCCTCACATCTGATGATTTGTTTGATCAGATTCAAGCGATTATTGTACCTCTTGTGAAACGGTGGACCATGAGATTCGAATCTTTGAGTAGAACAGAATGACAAAAGTGGCTACACGCAAACGTGGCGCGACAAGTACAAGGTGCTTTATCGTCTTTCTCGATCAGGCCCACTTTCTTCCTGGAACTGTTGCTTTCATCTGGCAATCTCTACCATCTTTGATAAATCCTATATCACTGCACCTTTTCCACAGCAAAGCAGCCTCCCAACACACAACATTTACGTTTAAAATCCAACAATTTTATCTCCTTAGGTGATCACAAGTTTGATCTACAGAAAAGGTCTCCCAAGCTAACATTAGTTTGCACAGTTCACCTTTGAGACTTCACCCTACGAATGAATTAAGGAGGGAACAAACATTATGAACAAGCTTGCTGAAATATTGTGACTCCTTGCATATAGCGCCAAAAAACCTTATATATAGGGTCAGACATTACCAAATCTGTTCCGAACATGCAAAAGCCCTTGTCCGTCTTCGGTCCTCGCATTACGTCGCGGTGCGCTATGCGTTTGGAGCAGATTAGCTTTGGATCAGCGTTGTTGTACGCCTTAGGGACCGGCCATACTATTCTTGCGATTACTGCGATTCTTGTGATTACTTTGGGTTCCGTAACAATGTATATTGCGAAAAAGCAATGTGATGAATTTCCCAAAGGGCTCCCTAGTGCGGCACATCGGAAGTGGGAAGATCACAAGATTTGCAGGAATTACAGGAATCGCAGGAATCACCTCCTGGAATAGTATGGTCGGTCCCTTGGAGTAGCAAATGAACCAGGGAACTGTGTTTGGTGTTGCGTTTGAATTCAGCGGAATCTATGGACGTTAATCACTCAACCAAATTCACAGTATTTGATGGTCTTGATAGAGGTGATTAAGGGGAGGGGGGCGATGTACTTCGCCATCGTATTTGTTTGATTCCATATACATTCCTTCAGAAATACAATCAACTTCAAATGAGTATCACTTTTTTCTTCCGAAAACTGTGATTTATCAGTAGTCATTAAACTGACAGCTGTGATGTGTAGTAGTCTTTTGTGCTTCTTGCTTTCATTCGGAACATCCCACTTCGATATATTGCTGTCGAAGAATTTATTTTCATTTGGTCATTCCTCGCTGCTTTTACTACAGTTGAACCGTTCTAGTATCATAATTCTCGCCGAGCCCAATATGGGCATCAGGAGACTAAAAACTTAGAAAATATTCGTTGAGTCTTTCTAGAAGAACTGGCTTCTGTAAGAATTTTTGGCAGATTCATTTCTGGCATCATTTTTTACTCATTTGAATCTCACAAGGGAAGGATATTTGGTCGAAGTGGCGTTTTCACAGGAAATGTACAGGGTGTCCCAAAAAGATGTGCACACTGTTTGATCGTTAATAACTTTCCTGCTTTCAAGTCTTTTGCCGAGTTTGAGGTACCATTCTGTAGACCGAGGTTCAACTTAGATTTGCAGTGCGAAGCGAATGGTCGATTGCTCTTCATTACTGTAACATTACGTTAGAAACTTCGAGGAGGATTTTAAGCCTTTGAAAGCGGTTTTTTGCCGTTTTTTGCCTCAGAACGGAAACTAAACAATCCAAAAACTCTTGTACTGAACTAGTCGAAGTCGTTGACTCTAAATATAAGATTTGCACTTCAGTGTAGTGGTTCTTTCATAAGCTATTTCAGAATTAGGATAACAACTGTTTTTCAATGTTTGTCAAAAATGTGACTGCGCCATCAAGAAAGCTCGAAAAACTCATGAAAACTCATGTAGTGAAATCAGCACGCTTGAAAACCTTGCCAAACAAATTTTCAGATTTTTTAAAATTATTTCGTCAAAAAGCCTATTCCACAGTGACGCTGTATGCTGAAAGTTCAGACCGTAATCCTACAGCAATGAAGAACGATTGGTGATTCGCTCCATACTGTAAATCTAAGTTAGACCTCGCTCTACAGAATGGTACTTCAAGCTTGGCAGAAACATGAAAGGAGAGTTATTGACGATCAAACAGTGTGCACATCTTTTTGGGACACTCTGTACAATGTCTTTTAGAGCATAAAACGCTGATTCCGAACCTGCTTTCGGTATCTGCAAAGCGCTTTTGGGTGGGAGTTATGACAGTTTTTTGAGGCATATCAAGATTTTGGTTAAGGTAAAAACGAGTGTTAAGGTCTTTCCGGCGCTTGAATGGGGTAACGACTAGCTCAAATCGTTAGAATGGAAGTATTAACTGCGCCAAGCGCCCTGGCAGTAAACATGATCCCCTCTAAGCTCAAAGACTACAGTTCTGAAAATTTTTATTGTGCATCCAAATTTTCGCATCAAAAAATTTCCGCAAATCCCCTCCCAGAAGCGCTTTGCAGATACCGGAAGCAGATTCGAAATCAACGTTCCATGCTCTATAAGACGTATACACTTCCTATGGAAACAACACTTCAACCAAGTATCCTTCCCTTGTCAATGACAAAAGTTTGGACAATTTTATAGAGGAAAATCAGGCTTTCTGATTACTTTTGATTGTTATGAATTTCACAGCCTTTCCACCATCTATACCAAAAAGAAAACAAATCTTTCCAACGGTGAAAATTTTCACAGTTTTTTCCTGCTGCAATTTTTCGCACCAAACACAAAACGAAATCTTCTGTTCTACATAAGCTGCTTGTCGCCTCCGGATCCGCAACTACACTAGATTTTTGCAATACGCACGCTAAAATTCTAAGCGGCGTCAACTTGCCTTTGACCGCAACTTTTTGCAGCATGCGTCGATATGAGGATCGCCCAACTGGATGATGGGCCCAAAAGGTCTTCAAGACATCACCGAACATTTGCGGTAAAAATGTGGTGCACTTCGTGTAGGAAGCGAAGACTTCAAAGGTATTCAACCAAAGATGCGGAACTAGCGCGCAAAAAGTGACTTTAAGAATTTTGCGAGTTTTTTTGCAGGAAGCTTCGTAAGATTATCACTTGCCTTCACAGGAAGCTTCGTAAGATTATCACTTGCCTTCATAACAGCCCCAGTAGATCTACACAGCAGTGGCGGTCCGAGGGGGGGAGGGGCGCCCCCCCCCCCGAGAATGGGTCGCGAAATTTTTGAAACTTACCTATGTGGGTTATAAAAGTGTGCAAACGACTTGTTTATTTTTGTAAATAATTAAAATAATTTTCAAAATTTTTTAAAAATTCAAATTAGCCTTATAAAAAAAATTTTTTTTCGGGGGCGTGGCTGTCGCCACGCCCCCTTTTTCCAGATTTTAGGGGTTGGGGACCCGCAAAAACTTTGAGAAGTACCCCCAAAATTTTTTCGGAGTGCGTGGCTGACGCCACGCACCTTCATTTGAAAAATAATTTTTCCGCCCCCCCCCCCGGTCCGAAATCCTGCGACCGCCACTGCTACACAGCTACCACAAATTAGTTCATCAGCGTTTATTATGTCTATATTAATCCTGCACTAGCGGGCCAATTCTCAATTCGACATTTTTTCTTTCCGCACATGACGCTGTCCCGAAATAGAGTACTGCAAAGTGACTAAAACAATGTCCTATAGACAACATCAGCATCTCAACACAGGCATCTCAAAAAGGACCAGTTTGCTCGAAGTTACAGCAAATTTTCCGAACGTGGCAGGAAATTTTCTTTACAATGAGTCTTCCTAGTTGCTGTCTTAACTCGATACGCTCGCGTCGTTGCTTCCATGAGTTCAACGCCTTCGCTGCTGAGGTATTGCTGAGGAGATGGAGGGCATCTCTCATAGGTTGGACATCCCACCTTCCGAAGATATTCTTCCCTTCCGATTGATACCTTGAAACATTGTAGATCACACCGCTTTTTTCCGGCGTAAAGCAAGAAAGATGTGCACTCTTCTTGCCTGAAATTTGTAGACAAGTTCGTTAAGTTAAGGGTACTGGGTAGTATGAAGAATAGTTATTTTTATATAACACTAGTTGACTTACCCGGCTCCGCCCGGCCCTGTCATTATTATATTCGTAATCAGCATGCTCGATTACCCCCCTGTGCCAACTCCCAGCCCCGTAGCTCAAATTTTGCAAAAAATCGATAAAATCGATATCGATCGATGACGAAAAGTAGCCTATAACACCCCCGGGGCCCGAAGTGTATGTGTGCCAAGTTTGGTCCGGATCTGTTCAGAAATGGAATTTTCTATTCGGAACATACGTACAGACAGACAGACATACAGACATACAAACAGACATTCAGCTTTATATAAGAAGGATCTGAGGAAAGTTCGTCATCAGCTTTGCATATGCTTCAGATGAAGAGTTGTTCGATGAATTAAACAACATTTTTCATGGGTTTTGGAATTGTACTCCTCCTTTGTAACAACTGTTCGCGCTTACTGTTGCACATAGAACGGTGCGAGCAATTGGATTTTAGTGAACTGAAATGACGAGAAGTTTAGTCAAGCAACTCAATACTCAGTAGGCAAAACTTCTTTGTGCCCTCAATCAGTGCCACCTATACGGGATGTCATTTCCACATTGCTAATAAAATCTGCCTACTGCCTGGCGTTTGATATACAGGGTACGGAAGCCCGGAAGCCCAGTATTCTTCTTAATAAAAACAGGTAGAACAACTACATCGGTCGCAGTATTGCAGAGTAAGCTCGTCTATAAGATACTAAAAGGGAAATTTTGCGAGGATGTAAATGATTGTATTCGAACCCGCTGGCATGTGTACGCAGCACACTTACAATATGCACGAAGGAAAAGCGGAAAATTATCACTTAGGGCCGCATGCACAAACATACCCGCCGGGGGGGGGGGGTCGCAGCTTAAAAGAACGCTTTGTATCTTGAAGCTCCAAATAACTAGATTTCCTGCTATCTATCCGCAAGTATTCCTACTAGCCTTCACTATCAACATATTGTAAAGCAGCGAGAAGCTGTTCAAGCCGAATTTTCCGATTTGTGTGGTCCCCTGGCGATCTCCGGCGGCCGACCACCTTTTCTTCGAATTCATTTTTCTTTCTTCAAAGTTAACGGAGACTTTCCAAAGTTACTCTGACTATTCAACTCAACAGTGCTAAGCATGCTGCTGATAAGAAGAAATGAGTTTTTAGAAAGTTAAATTTTAGAAACCCCAATTTCTTGTGGTTCATCGCGAATTTCATGACTCCGATACATAATTTGTTCTTAGCAGCAACATGCTTAGCAATTTCGGATAGGTAGATAATCTGTACAACTTTGGAAGCTTTTCGTTAGCTTCGAAGAAAGAAAAATGATTACAAAAAAATGGTCGGCCGTCGGGGGATCATTAGAGTATCACACAAAAAGCTGGAAAATGCGACTTGTATAGCTTTTCGCTGCTGTTCAAGCTGTTCATAGTAAGGGATGATAGGAATATTTACGGATAGGATGACTTCGTGAAATTCAGAAGTTCGGGGCTTCAGGATATGAGGCTTTCTGTTAAGCTCGATCCCCCCTCCGGAGAGGGATGTTAATGCATGCGGTCCCTAATCTTTTACAGTCCTGGTTATGCTACACATTGAACACATGAGACTAGCGCAGTAAATCAAGGTCTTAAGTTTAGTTACGAGCTGCTTGAAATTTGCGCTTGCTGACACGAGTCTGTTTTCATACAAGCTAAACACACTTCTTAGCATCGGTTAATCAAAAGATAGTCAGTTTGTAAGTTAAATTTCCACGAGTTGCCATATCGGGTCATAAGCTTTTCTTTCAATTGCAACATCTCATGATTTCAGAACAAGTTAATTTTCTCAACCGACTGTAGTGATCACAGCTGGTACAATTATCGCCGCAGTTTAATGCCTTCAAACGTACTAGCTTTCGCAGCCAAAAGTTCCCAGCTGTTAGTAACATTGATAAACTATTACACGTTCGGATTCGGACACAAGCCTTCGGTCCGAATCCGACATTATTGACTAATCGCTGTATCATTTTTACTCGATTCCTCCACGCAAGTAAAGCTTTTTGGACGGTTCATCTCTAAGATAATATACAATCATATGTCGTATGGACAGAAGTTCCTTTTGTGCACCGTGATAAAATGGTTTATGTAAAATTAGCGGGACATGCACTCGGCATTTCTGTTCTTTGATCGCTCATCTGTCTTACGCAAAATCGTGGAACAGCGATAACCGGGCGATATGTGTAGTAAATAAGCATTCAAATGCCACCGACTAATGCCTATGGCATCTTTATATCCATAAAAGGAAAAATTAGGTGCGTTTTTATTGCATTACCTTTACGACTACATCGTACTTCACAATTCTGGGCACTTTTGCACATATACTAATTAATTGTTTTTGTGTACATGGGTATCGCTTTGATACTAAGCGGAATGTAACGGCCATACTCATGTAAGCACTGAACATGTGCTTGCTTGAGAAGTTCAAAACTTCATTCTTTCTGCATGAATTTACTTGCCATGAATTTTATTCTAATGATGTGGTCAGGGTGACATGTTACTCCCTCCAAGCACATGTTTGTTTTGATGATTTCAAGCAAGTTCACCAAAAACTCGATAACAAATCAAGACGGTCGTAAACATAGATTTTATGTCCTTTTCTTTTCAACTGAGGAAACTTTTTGCTAATCAAGTGTGTCCAGGAGGAGTGTAAAGAGAAGGTGTTTGACCAGCACATATTCTGCTCTGTTCAGAAAAGCAGGTCACCGAACACATGTTTACGACTGTGTTTTTTCTTGTAATGTTTTAGTTTGGTAAGCTTGTTTGGAATAGCCGGAACTGTAGTGATTTCCATCTTACATTTCTATTTCTATGAAACCACATGATTTTCGCATTCTGATAAAATACAAAACAAATCAAAAGGAGTATAGTTTACGATAATAATGCGAACGAACTTTCGGACAACTTATTATATGGTGCCCCTGCAATGCCGGCAACCCTTGCCGCGGATTTGCTGTGCTCTATGGCGCCATACCGTAGCCATACCGTAGGCTCGTGTAAATCTTCATACAGTTGAGTAGATTTTCCGCTCAATGTAGCGTGCTGGCACCGCAAGTGAGATACGGTAAAATTTGCACAAATAGCCACGCCAGCCATTAAAGGCAGCGTCCAGGCAGATCTGGACCTATGGGGCTTTTACGTGGGATACTTTTGGGGCCCTAACTAAGGCACTGTCCAAGCGGCAGCTCAGGTAGTGCTCTAATGGCTGAGATATTCCCCTCGAAACTGGCCCCCGCGAACGTATTCGCATGGATTCATGGCAGTTTCGCGCCAGGATCCACGCTTTGCGCCATGAATCCCTGCGAAACACGGTCGCGGGGTCCAGTTTCGAGGGGAATATCTCAGCCATTATAGCACTACCTGAGCTGCCGCTTGGGCAGTGCCTTAGTTGGGGCCCCAAAAGTACTTTCCACGTAAAAGCCCCATAGGTTCAGAGCGGGACCAAGGATCTATCCTTTTTTCGGACCTACCCTCGGAGAAGTATGAAGAAGTAAACTGGGAACTCTGAAGCGTTGACTTGGAACCCGGCTGACCCTGCAAGTCACTGCAGTCGAGTAGGTTTTCCGCTTAATATAAAATGTTTGCACTGCAGGTGAAATGCGGTAGAATTTGCGCGTGAACAAATAGCTATCGTGGTTGATTGGACGGACTGAACATCTTTGCGGAGCACGCGCCGCGAGATAAAATGCTTGCCCAGCACAAATTCGTCATTGCACAAATCGTGCTCTCGCTACATTTTAGCCGCGCCACGCGTAGTCCGCAGCATTGAGAACTCCCTGCGGTCAACGAATCGACGATATACGCTGCTAATGACGAAGGCGCATTAGTTGCAGAGCGCATGAAGCGCAGGATTTACAACGGTGAGGATACGCGCGCCGCGTTCGCGCCCCCTTAACTACTAATACTGCTTCTGCGCCTTCGCCATGCAGCAGCCTTTACATCTGTGAACGCTGGCCATGCGCGGGCAATGTACCGGCTTACTGGCGTATTAAAGGCAGCGTCCAGGCAGGTGCGCAGGTGTTGTTGGCACAGAGGTACACCATATTAGCTTTCAAATCTACAAAACATTTTCCGTGCAATGTTTGAGCAAACTGTCGTCCACAAGCTTTCAATTTGTTTAGAAATGTCTAGCCATTTTTGGAACATAACTGGAAAGATATCTTGCATCAATATTTCTGTAAAGATCACTCGTTCACTATCGCGTGGTAGACGTTACTGACCTTGACATCTGTTACTGTTTTGTTTCAGAATGGTAGCTCAGTTGATTAGTGGGACAGAGATCTCAAAACAATTGCTTGGTGAAGTGGCCGAACAGCTGAAACTCAAGAAAGAGAATAATCCATCCTTTCGAGCGGTGTTAGCTATCGTACAGGTAAAATTACTTCTTACTATACGTCGGCGACTGAAGATCCCACGTCGTGAATAATTGGTTTTGCCTATCAGTTTCCCACGAATTGACAGAGTACTCAAAATTAGATGCCATTTTTTTCGCACTAGAACTCTGAACTATGAAAGGTAAATTAATACTACTCATGGGCAGAGTAAAAAGTGAAGGCTCCTGTTGTCTTTGAAAGTTTTGCATCATGCTCTTCCCATAACTGAAAGTTTTGTTCTTGTAGCAGTAAAGCTAATCAGTTTTCATGCATTTTCAGGTGGGAAATCGCTCAGATTCGAATGTATATATCGGCGCTAAGATAAAAAAGGCGGCTGAAATTGGAGCAGAAGGAAGACTCATCAAATTGCCTGATACTTTGACACAAACTGAGCTGGAGGCAGAAATCGCCAAACTAAATGCAGACGATGATGTAGACGGCATTATTGTACAGGTTTGCTTTTAACGAGTAGTACAAAGCTATCAGCGAACTCAAATTTTATTCTGCCCAATTCTCGAGAAGCGCACAACTGTCCCAAATTGATGAAGAACCGTCGCCCATCATCCTTCTAACAAGGAAAGGATACTTGGTGACCGTGGCCTTTTGAAGTGAAACGTATACTATTGAATGCATCTTGAAGCGCTGATTCCAAATCCGTTTTCATTATCTGCTGTGCGCTCTTCCGAAAGAAGTTATGAGCATTTCTTGTTACCAGAATTTGCACTATTTTTGATGCAGGATTCACCAATATCGTTAGAATGTTCGCTTACACACTACAAAAGAGCGTACAAATAAAGTAACGCTTCATTTTGAGCTCAGAAAAACTGTCACCGATACGTCAGAGTCTAAAAAGCCTGGATAATGACGATTTCGACTGCCTAAATCTCGCAAAATCAGTATGGAAAAAAGTCCATAACTTCTTTCAGTGAGTCGCACAGCAGATAATAAACATAGATTTAGAATCAGCGTTCCAAGGCGCACCTATTGGTATACATCTCATTGCAAAAGGCCACGGTCACCAAGTATCTTTCCCTCGTAAGTGTTTTGCGCATCTTCAAGATTGCACGTACCGTACCCAACATACAATACGTTCGCAGAAAAATAATTATCTACCACATTTCAGAGGAATGACCGGGGATTTTATTTTCCAAATACAAACACTGAATCTCTTTCATACCATATCCACCCGCAACCCTGTTACTATTCACTTTGAGTCATTAAATTCTCATTGTCAGACTGATTTTGATGAGGTTAAGGCAGTATATCCATCATCCAAATCTAATTCGCTGTTGGAGTATCTCAAGATCGTTTTGCTGGCAAAAAAGAGGCATGCGTGCCATCTCTAGTTAATTGTTGTCATGCAGTCTACAACACAATAAATACAAGCTCAATCATCACATTTCTACTACTCTAATTCAAATGATTGAACCCCAACTACATAATGAACTTCAGTTGCGGTCAGTGTGGGGATAACTATGCGTTTTCGACTCTTTTGTGAGAAACGTCAAGAACGTATTGAAAAAAATAATAAAATGAAAATAATTATCCAACAGTGAGGTGCTATTCTCTGACAACGTACCCGTTTTTCCTAGTTGTTCAGTGGCGGCATGCGTAAATTCTTGCATTAGTAGATCTCGTCGTTTATCGGTCTCTGAATCAAGAGCTATTCCTGGTTTTAGTTCATGATTTCTGAGTAGTCAAAATTCTAAGTGGAAGTAAGCCGAGCTTACGGACACAGAGAAGAAAGCAAATGGGCAAAATAGTATTCCAACTAGAGTACAACTGCGGCTTTTCACTCTTGAGTTTACTAACTAGAGTACAGCTGCGGCTTTTCACTCTTGTGCATGCAATAGGTCCTGAGAAATAGCAATTCTAAAATGCCCGCTTTCTTGCCAAGCTAATATCTTAGAGAGGTTGGCTAATACGACCCTCCACTTCCTCCTTCCCTCCCCGTCCCTCCGAAGGGTTTCTGCTACCACCACGTCTCCCTTTCCGTTTGAAGTTGAAACTCTCATCTTGCATAGTGCACGAGATGGTTTCATTTTTCTTGGTGCCTGAAAGCGGGTCTTACCATTTGTAAAGCCATGACGTTGGTTGCGATGGTAAAGGCATCAGGTAAGTCTCGTTTGGTTACGCTAAAGTTGTAATGCATCCTTTATCCTCCAATGCAATATCGTTCACACATTTGTGTGAAAAAGAAATAACCGGCCGTCGGACTTCGCCTAAATTTTGAGCGCATCGCCATATCTCGTTTCAGACTGGACAGTTTCTTACCAAAGGTACCAATCGACTCAGATCATGCGCGCTCTGATCATATAAGTCCCCATCTGCATACGATAAATATATTATGAGCGGTCTGTTCCTAGCAAATTCGTGAAAACGAAGGCCTCTCTGCTTATCGTATACCGTCGTATACCGTATCTTATCGTATACCGTATTCAGACACGCGTTTTTACGAATGTGAGAATACACAGCTTCGAGTTGTGGTGTGTACCTTCCAATTCAGAATTTATCTACTCCGAAGGGAAACTCCTGCTGCCTCCGCAATTTTTTGCGCTATGAATACTATTACGATTGAACTCGGCTAACGAAGTTTATGCCATGCTCCGAAATGGAGTCAGACTAAGCTGTTCGATTTCTGTGAGGAAGCGATGCCTGCACCAGAAATTTGATCAGTTTTGCCCTGATAGCTATTCAATATAGTATAGAAGTAATTTGTCTGTTCCGAAAAACGTCAGTCTCTGATTTTTGTTGCTCCCCCTGGTAGAGGATTGCAGTGGCCAATTTACAGTTTGGAATTGGGTTCGCATTTGTACCTTGTGCATTATTTCACCCTCTCTTCAAGTGTGAAGTTTCTTCTTGCACTGCTTTGTCTTATATCTTATATGTTTGAGCTCGATGATATCTGATTGACTTTAGTGTTCTGAGCTCTACATCAAAACTCTAGGTAGAGAGGTTAGATTTAGAACGGCTTGCATGTTCTTTTCCAATTGCCGGCTTTGGCAAATTTTGCTCCCTTCTTCACTTTCTACATGACCTCGGTATTTAAGAAACAATTTGTGGCCTTGGCTAAATTCTGAGAAGCATCTTTGTGTACTACTCTCTATGATAAAGGGAAATTCATGGCACACGCACACTGCTGCGTGTTATGACTTTCCCTTTATCACTGAGTAGTGCGAGTATTTTGTTAACTTATCTGCTGGCTATCTGACAGCACTTGCCTTGTTTCCGTCTTTTTTATAGATTCCGAGAGCAGAAAAATTATAGATTGAGTTAGTGAATTGAACAAAAAGTTTTTTTTTGCAAATTCAATGGCTAGAATTTGGCCCTTCTACAACGGCTTAGTTTTGAATGTCGATTTTTTCCACAAAACTACAATAAATTCATTCATGAATTCTCAGCTGAACGATAGAGTCGGGTACATCAACACACTTCCTTGAAAGAAAGACTCTAGAATCTTCTTTCAGTTGCCGCTGGACTGCAAGAATCCAATCGATGTAGATGCGGTCATCGACAAAATCCACCCTCTGAAAGTAATTCTTTAGTCATTTTCGCTTATGATTGATTTCGTCGTTGAGCTCCTGCATCTATCAGGGTTTCCTGATGTTTTCGATAGCATTGGTATTTTAGGATGTAGACGGCCTGACCAGGGAAAACGCTGGTCGTTTAATGCGTGGCGAGTTGCAGCGCACAATCATCCCGTGTACGCCAAATGGATGCTTGTATCTCGTCCAAAAAGCAACAGGTTCGCGAGTCTGTTGTCTACTTCGTGACCAGCTTTATCATATTTCATGCACTCTCCTGTAGGTGATCCGGACTATGTCCGCGGTAAGAATGTTGTGGTGTTGGGCCGTTCGAAGATTGTTGGTTCGCCCGCTGCAGCTCTATTCATGTGGCACCACGGAACAACCACAATTTGTCACTCAAGAACTAAGGACATCAAGGAACACTGTCTCAGGGCTGATATCCTCATTGTTGCAATAGGAAAGAAACAGTTTGTGAAAGGTACACTTGGTTTTTGCAGGTCCAGAATAATAAAAAAGCAGTTCTCATGCCGTAAATGAAACCCAGTAAGTGAATAAGTTTCGAAATGTTTGTGATAAGTCGGACCCAAAATAAGTAAATTTAGGCACAGGTTGCTAGTAGGTTTGCTTTTTTGTAGTCTACAAGTTCAATAATGGAGCTTTGAAACGGTTTCCCATGAGAATGTCCCAAATCTTCAAGCTTTGAAAAAGCAGAACACCAGGATCTTGCATTGCTCAACTTTTTCTCGTTTATTTACTACTGATAATGTATTTCATGATAGAACTCACTCTTCTTTCTCATTTCTATACAATATCTTCTTATCCCCGTCATTTCTCTGCTGATTTCCTGCTCCGTATATCATCATGCTCATTTACTCTCTCCTCTCACGCGAGCTCTTCCTGTATAATCTCTCAGCGACCTTACTTAAAGTTTGTAAAAACTGCGATGAATGTCCTAGACATCTTACAAATTTTTGTCTCTTCGAGATAAACCGCTCTGCCAATATCAGTCCCCCCACTGCGTTTGAGATAGGATAAAATCGACAAGGTTTGCTATACTCGTTATCAGTATACTCATCTATCCCCTGTACCAACTTCCACCCTAAGGTCTAAGAGCTCTTAGCTTGTAATTTGCAAAAAAAAAATCGCTTGTACCTATCGACTGACAACTAAAAAGCCCAGGGCACCCGCAAGCGCTAAAGTTATTCGTGCAAAGATGGTCTCGGATCACAAATGGAGTTTCGGAACATTCGTACGGGGTGGGGACATTAGGCCGCAGAGAGGGGGTCCTGTGCGGAATTTGCAACAAACCGCGTCTCTGCGCAGGGTAGGAGAACGAAGGCCGCCAATTTGAGCCGCCTTTAGTGGCTAAGTGGTCCTTTCGCAAGTTGTTGCATGTCGTTCCAGGACAAGTAGTCCGCGGAAGCGGCCCAAGCTGGCGGTTTTGGTTCCCCTACCTCTCGGCACATGAAGAGCAGGTGCTAGTTGTACGCTTGGGTGGAGCCTATTGGCGACCTTATGACCTAGTCCTACGGACAGTCTTCTGACTTACTGACAGGATCTTACCTAGCGTATGTTGCGCCGTCGCATTTGGGCTATACAGTCTGTCCCAACCCCAAACAGGTCGTGGGCAGGAATACGAATTGGGTGTATGTCAAGATGAACGATAGCTGGCAATAAACATACCGTACTCCAGTGGTTGTCAATATGTTGCACATAAAGTCTTATTTTTGAAGCTATATGTTCTAAACTGGATTGAAAATGGTGTCGAACAGTAAGAATTAGGGCATATAGAGCTCCCAGCGTTTTCTCTAAGTTTCTAGATATCATCATAGCGTAAATATGGAATATGAAAAAGATTTGACCTACGCAGCGCATATGGCTGGCACAACCTATCGTTCATGTTGGCTGCCCCCCATACGAATTCCGCCAGTTTGGATCGCCTTCGCGAGCATCTGGTTCTTATGCATGTTACTGCATATCGTTCCAGGTCCAGTAGTGGGGCGGTCCAAACTCGTGGAGTTCGTTCTTCGGTCAAATGGCATGACGGGAGTCGCCGGGGTTTTGCGCCAGTCTGCGGCTAGCTTGCCTGTTCTCTTCTCTCTTCGTTCACTCCGAAAACGCGCATACGCAGCGCGAATCCTAGCGCTGCGAGCGCACAACCTCAAGGGCACCGTCCACCCAAAATGGGGTTAATGAGATTTCGATGCCTAATGGTAGTGGGCCAACTGTGTACTTCCCAGCTCGTGCTGTCAAAAGTTGCTTCCAAAGCGAGAAAATTGCTTCGAAAATAGCTTCGGATGACGGGTTCGTCACGTTAGCTCCTCCCCTTTTGAGTGGGTGTGGCGTTCGTCCCGACCATCCGTGCGTATTCAACCAATCACCGTTCCGGAGAACCCTGCGGTTTTTGCAGAACGGAGTTTGTCGAGATTTTTGCGGATTCTCGAATTGATATTCGGAATCAGGGACATGAGAAGGCCCCTGGACGACAAAAATATGAAAATCAAAATTTGGCACGGTGTCTTTAAGCCAATGGTTAGGTCTGGTTCCGTTTGGGACAGGCTGTATGTGGTTCAGTTAGGAAACGCTGCTTATTCACTAATTCACTCCGCAAAATGATAGATGAGCGGTGTAGTGTTTTTTTTTGAAGCGGATGAAACGAATAGGTATGACGTTTTTCTTACCCAGACATCTTAGTCTAGGTTTTTAAAACTCGTTAACACCAGAGGAATTTTTGATCGGTACTATTCCAACTTACGGAAATGGTACTTTCTGGCCCTGGCCATTCGGTATGTGATGTATACCATAAGGTGCATCTCGAAACGCTGATTCTAAATTTATGCTCGAAATCATATGAAGGTAGCTATGAACTTTTTTTCGTGAAATTTGGTCTATTTTACCGTTTGAAGCTATTGAGGAGAATATTAGAAGGTGTACGTTGTGTTTATACCTATCTAAATCATATTCAGCATTTGAAGAGGAAAGAAAAAATTTTGTTGATGTTTATACCCTCCGCAGTAGGGCAATTCATTCTTGAAAAAATAATTGTAACTTTATCTAAATTCTCGTTTCGCAGATATGGAAAACAGTACTCGACCCAGCATTAAAAGGCGCATCTTTTGGTGTACAAACCAATATGAATGACCGGGGTCACCAAGCCTGTTTAGTTGACCGAAAGAATAGAGTCGCGGATGTTGCTGGAACTTCGTCTAGGGGCGTTATTTTGCACGCTGATTACAAACATCGCATTTAGTTCGCACTGTAGTACCATTTGATGGAGTCACGGTAGAACTACGGTAGGGTGAAAATCATGGACTCCCCAAACTTCGTCTAGAGGGGTTATTTGGCATGCTGAACATGAAGATCATATTCATTTCGTACGATAGCGTCATTTCTGGGACTACGGTGGGTATAGGTAGATGGGTGGAAATTTCGAATTTGCTCAAAGCTTTGCATAGGGTGGGGGTCTTAAAGGCGCCCTCCACCCAGATTTTCGACTTCCACGTGTTTGTCGTTTCAGGGCCTTCTCATGTCCCTGATTCCGGACATGAAGTCGAGAATGCGCGAAAACCCCGACAATACTCGTTCCGGAGAACCCACAAGCCGGCTTTCCGGAACGGTGATTTGATGGGCGCGCACAAATGAGCGGGCATAAATGGTTATCCTCGTGCATCATCGCTATTCCAAAGCGATTTTCTCGCTTCCGAAGAGCCATTTTGCGCCGCGACTTGGGTTGGATTGATAGGGGCCCTGCTATTATATGCTGCCAAAAGCTAAACACCCTCAACTTAGGCTGGACGGTGCCTTTAAAGGCAGTGTCCGGGCAAGAACTCGATTTTGAGATTTTGCGCTTACCCGGGCCCATTCGCTGTGCTGAATCCGAAAATCCACATTAGCGCGGAAACGGCGAAAAAGGGCTTTAATGCAGGCGGAAAGTAGCAGGTGGGCGGGGTCTTCCCTATTGTGAACTCACGCTTCCAGCTTCCAGAGCAATTTTCTCGAATCCCTTAGCCGCCCTGACATCACTACCGATCAAGTGCAAACGAATGACATGAAACCGGAATCAAAAAGGTCGCCCCCGAAGCTGGGAGCGTGAATTCACAGTGGGGAAGACCCCGCCCACTTGCTGGTTTCCCTCCAGTGTTAGAGCCCTTTTTCTTCGTTTTCGCGCTTTCCAATGTGGATTTTCGGATTCAGCATAGCGAATAGGCCCGGGTAAGCACAAAATCTCAAAATCGAGTTTTGCCCGGACACTGCCTTTAAGCATGCTGATTACCAGTATTATGCCCGATAAGACGTCATTGCAGCAAGCGAACATGATCGTTATCACCATGCTTGTGAACCCCTCCAGTACAAAGTTTTGAGCAAATTCGTCATGTTCTGCATACCAGATAACCCACTAGACGAAGTTTGAGGGCAAATCCGTGATTATGGCCCCCTACGATCCTACCGTAACTCCACAAGATGGGACTATCGTGCGAAATTGATATGATATTTGTAATCAGCGTGCAAAATGACCCTCTTGACGAAATTTTAGCCAAATCTGCTGTTTTCATTCTATGGGTCAAATAATGTGGAATAGCGCCTTTTACTGTTTGAGTGTGTGCGCATAGCGCAACACTGCAGAACGTCCCTACTTGTTACTTCGCATATCTTTTGTAGGAGACTGGATCAAGCCTGGGGCAGTTGTGATTGACTGTGGCATCAACGTCGACGAAGCCACTGAGCCCGGAAAGAAAAACAAGCTTTATGGAGATGTTGATTTTGAAGCAGCCAAAGAGGTTTGCCGTTGCCATAAGCAGAGCCTAGCGCTAAATGCTTGTCCGTTTGAGGTTGCCGGTTACATCACTCCCGTGCCTGGAGGTGTTGGCCCTATGACGGTGGCCATGCTTATTCGAAATACCTATCAACAAGCTTTACGCAGAAGACTGCACGAAGATAATGGTGTTTGAACATGCCTTTATATTTTGGGTAGTCCTGTTTCAGCCACTTCAGCCACTTGTTCTTTTATTTAGCTTCTCCTTTTGTACCTGAAAATTCTGAGGTTTAACTGGTTACCGGCCATTCACTTGTTGTTCCATTCAATATTGAATTGATATAAAGACTTCTATCTCTGAATGTGGAAAAAAATCAGCATGTTCTATCACCACATTGTTACAAACTGAAGTATATTTTGAGTCCACGCTTAAAGTCATAATTCCAATAAAGTTCGGATACCACTTAACTGAGCTTATGCGCAGGAGTCTGAATTGGAATTGATTGTTTTTAAATATCAACGATAGATAACTTTTTCTCAGCAAAGTCAAAATCTAGGCACATAGAGGTCGCAGGTTGGAACTGTTTTTGGGATTTTAACTAAGGCTGCATGTAAGATCCCCGCTGGGGAGGAATGCGACTCAGTAGAAAGCTTCATATCCTGAAGTGTTTTGGAATTTACTCTCATTCAAAAGTGTTTCCATTACCCTCTACAACATATGAATGAGAAGTTGTACAAGTCGCATTTTCCGCAGTCAGGGAGTAGGACAATATGTTTTTTGGACTCAGGTTTCAAGCTCGTCCCTATCCCGTAGTCTCTTTTCGAAAGTCTAAACAAAATCAGGTGCGTTTCTTTCACTGTCTGGGAGGTTGTTACATACGCCCTTGATGATTACCGGCACCTGACTGTCTTTCCTTCAAAGTCCGGAGCACGCCCAGCTCAGATATAGCAGAGAGACTGTAGCAGGATGAGGGCAATTGGAAAATCGCCGTAAAACATTGCGGCCAATGATGGAAACCATCTTAATTTTTGGCCTTTGTGGTCCAACGTTCAGAGTGCACCAGCGCCTTTTTTTATTGTCCGAAAGAAGTGCTGCGGAAATGCAACACCTTGAAGGAGGCTTTCGTACACTTTTCACTTACGAAGCGAAGTATGACAGGAACACCTAAAGAAAAGAGGAAGAAACTCGCAGTATAGCTCTAGTAAGATACGGATCGAAGTCGTTGGATTAACTGGTAAGCGACCCAGAAGTTGATAGTGGATAGTAAGTTCGGTGAAGAACGATATATCTCGGTTCTGGCAGACGAGACATGGGATGTAGCGGGGGTGGAGCAACTATCAGTCTGATTCAGATTTGTTTCCAGGAATGAATTTGTGAAAACCTGCGTTGGAGAAACGTTCTCTGGTCTACCTTGGAACAGCTGACTGATTCGAAGTGTTTCAGCCGAGATCATCATGACCACCCTAACGGAGTGACTTGATAGGTGCAACTTCAATGTCTGGCATCGAGGAGGTGTTCAGAACCAGATTTGTCAGCACCCTTGTGCATTGTAAACTGTTGTGCACATGTTCTTGATTTGAACCTCGGTGAATTCGTTTATGGTCGCTCCGTAAGGCACGCTTTTGCTTTTATGTCGCCTTTTTTTTTCGCACTTACCGAAAAGAACGCAGGCAGTGGAGGACGCAAGCGAGTCTGCGCCAGAAAGTCTAAGAAGAAGACTGAAGCGCCTATGTGAGATACGATGGATTGAACGAGCAGCATGCCTAAGTTTTGAAGCTCTCTTCATCTCAGTTGTAGCAACATTGTCGAACTTGTCGGAAGCTAAAAACGAAGCGTATAGTTATGCGACATGCTTGCCTAAGGAAGAATCCATGTCCGCATCGTGCCTCATGTCTGTGACAATGAAATCTTCAATAGCACTCTGAACAACTGCAGTCATCGGGTAACACTCTGCCTGATTGTCTGAGTACCTTTCTCATCATGGTTTTTCTAAGGTAGCAGTTTAGGCGCTCGAAAAATCGGAGCTGCGTCTACACCAACTACGAAGAAAATTGGGCATTTCAGTAAGGACCAACAGAAAATCGACGGCTGTGTGTTTATTATTATATTAGGTTGTTGCAAATTTAATGCCCGTTTTGCAAAGTTTTATTTTGAAAGGCTATAACTTTGTCCGGTCTTCCTATTTTTGAGTGCAGTCTAGACCATCAGGAGCAGTAAACCTTTCGTAACCTGGCGCATCTGCTAATACTGATATATTGCACTAATACTGCAAACGGGAAGAAAACTATGCGTCAAAAACGCTATAGTTTTCCTCTCGGAAACCTCGTCTTTGAGAGATTACAACTCCCTTCGAGTTTTATTCCTATGGCTGCTAATCAGCTTATTTTGTGGACTCAGGCCAGTAGTATACGCCTGCTTAGAAAAGACTTCAACGAAGGGACCTGCAAAAAAAGATGACAACCAAATCTTTCACTTTTTTGAGCCTATTTGTGGTAGGCCAGAAGGTCCCAAACTATGAAAATTTGGAATATCATGCACTAAATAGTTAACTTTTTTCTACAAAATTTGTAGATGAGATGTTCTGACCTAAGTTATACAGAAATGAACGAAGCTTTGAAAATTTCCCTAATTATGAGAAACTTTGGGCCCATAGAATTCCAGCAGCGTGATCTATTTTGGGGCGTCGATTTCTCGGTCCAGATATTTTCGAGACTACCCAAACATGCTATAGGTAAACAATGTTCAACCAATATAGTAGCTATGTTTCCAAAAAAATTCGTTCATTTGCGCCTAAATTGTGGCCAATGAAGTTAAAGCAACGAAATTTTGATTTTGAGTGCAGCTGTGCGAGATGCTGGTGATCTCACAGATGAGATAGAAGCTTTATTACACCACTGTTAGAAAGTACATGAAGAAAGCTTTCCAATGAATGATATGTGAAATCTATATCGAAAATGAATTTTGAAGGGAAGAAGTTGTTTGGAATGTAAGCTTAGAAAAACGGGCATAATGCAACAGTCTAATATTTATTATTATTTATTATTACATGTTTATTATTTGATTTAATTTTGAAATTTTGTTACATTTTTTCTAAACTGTTGTAAATATGCTGAGGAATTTGTTTGTTCTGTTTTTAAAATGCTCACATTTGAATAAAAATTTTTTTTGGAAACTAGCGGCCCAATGCCTATCAAGTGTGAGGAATGTCATATATCATATAAAGTCTTTCTCTGCAAAAAATTCATTCTATACCTTACGATTCCATTATATGAAATGATTTTGACAGGAGAGAGCAAACAAATGGACGAGTTGATTTGAGAATGGACCATTGTCAAAGAACGACTGTTTGCAGAAGAACGCTTAGATTAACAAAGAATTGTCTAAATGTCGCATTTAATGAAGCTTACTTTCGAAAATAGACCTGCATGCCCCACATCTTACTTATTCTCCAGATTCGCAAGCGCATTAGATAACCGAAGTAGTGCTTTACCTTCATCTCGTGAAGCATCCCCTCGTGGCTCTTCTTTTTGCGGCTTTTTCTAGCTAATGTATTGGATCATGTGTTCCTTTCGGGGTAAAATTTCATAAAGCATTAGCGGCTTTTCCTCAAAGCATTTGGAGCGCCTACTTCTGACAGTTTTCCTTTCCGATATTCTAACTCAAAATGCGCTAAGTTTTTCTCCTGAAACTTCACAATCAAATTATCGACTCTTTCTTCGTTACTCAAGGAACTATTCCGTCTTCAAAATCCCCTTTTCTCAAAGCTTACTGTCCAAAGTCACAGTATCTTGTCCCCACTTCAGAGTATTGTCGTCCGCAATGTTCGCAGCGTTCTCTTCAACTTCTCCTTATCAAAATCCCAGAGCTTCTTTCTCGAGTTTTTTTCTCAGGCTATGGGTGCTGCACAGACTCCCAAGACTTTGCAATGTCAAAACTTAGGGCCGCATGCACTAAGCTGCGGTCCCCTCCCCGCTGGGGAGGGGATCGCAGCTTAAAAGAAAGCTTTATATTTCGAAACTCCAGATACCTGGACTTCACGTTGTGTACCTATCCGTAAGTATTCCTACTACCCTTCACTATGAACATGTTGAACAGGAGCGAGAAGCTGTACGAACCGCATTTTCCAGCTTTTGTATGATCCCTGATGTTCCCCGGCGCTTTTCTTTAAAGTCATTTTTCTTTCTCCGAAGTTAACGAAAACCTTCCAAAGTTGTACTGAACATCTAACACAACAGTGCTAAGCATATTGCTGATGAGAACAAATGAGTTTTTGAAAAGTCGAATTTTTCGGTAAACCTCAAATTTCGGCATGTGGATCATCGAAAATTTCATGACTTCAAAACATCATTTGTTCTTATCAGCAACATGTTAGCACTGTCGGTTTAGATAATCTACACAACTTTGGAGGTTTTTCGTTGACTTCGGAGAAAGAAAAATAGCTTAACAATACACACAATAACAGAATCACGGATTCCGCTGGAACGTGGCTTAGAGGTATTATTCGACATACTGATCACGAATTTTGCATTCTTTCTGCATTACAGGGCCCCTATAAAGTTACGCTAGGTTTACGGTAGGGGTACAACTTCTTGAGCTTGGCAAATTCGGTCTAGAAGGTTTATTTCACATGCTGATCACAGGCATCATACTCTCTTTGCATTATGGGATCTTTTCGTGGAGTTACGGCAGATATGCGGCAGGGAGTCAAAATCATACACCTGCCTGAAAATCATCTGAATTGCTGATCACGAAAATCGTGCCCATTCCGCACTATGAAGTCTTTGACTGAATTTTTGTGATCCAAATGATCTGACCCAAAAAGCGAAAAAATGTCCATCGTACGCTGCAAATCACCTTAAAGGCAGTGTCCGGGCAAAATGGGGGTTCTGAGATTTCTCTGCCATGTGAACGTAGCCCCCCTGAGACACAACATCGCGCAACTGCGAGCATAAAACGTTCGACCTAAAGCAAGAAAAACGATTGCAAATTGGGGAAACTTACGCCTTGGGGCGGGGTCCTCCGAGCTGTTTGAATTCCTGCCAGACGGCAGAGTACGTATGCCGCCACAGTTAAAAACCGTGCGCTCTTTGCAACCTCTGCGTCTTAGCCTGGCGGGGATCCCCAAATTTTGAAATGTGAGGACTTGGAAAATGCATGTTCTCGCCGTTTTCGCGCCTTCTGATGTGGATTTTCGGATTCAGCGTTGCGAATAACCCCAGATAAGTTGATTTTTTAGAAGTCGAGTTTCTGCCCGGACACTGCCTTTAACACCAACACTCCACAACAACTTCATTGCGCGCCCCACATTCCCTTGATTTCTCCCGTCCTTCCCCCCCCCCCCCTTCACCCAGTTAATAGTGGTAATATACGAACAGGTGGGTGTAATTACTATAGTCCAGTGAAAATAGAATTGCATGTTTTGCAGTCCTAATGGAAGCATAGTCCTTGCTGCAAGATAATA